TGCCAATTAGAAGTAAGTTGTAAAATTTTTTATCCATGTTTCATCTATGTCAAACTGAATTTTTGTGAGGTTTAATATATGCAGGAAAGTATAAAACAAAGGAAGGAGTTTTAAGGGGAAAGAGGGGGAGTTCATTTACACAAATACAGTCAGTGTAGCTTGATAAACAGACAAATAATATTTTAATTGTTGTTACCATTAAATGGTGTTCTGATGGTCAAAAAACTTAACAATAATCTTTTGTTCTTTCAGGAAAAAAACTCATACCGACTCTACTGGAGAAGGTGCCGCATGCAATCAGGTAAAAGATAAATCTGACTATGGAGGGCCTAGTACTTCACCTGATCTTGAAGAAGAGCTATACATGTATGAAGAGACAAGTGTACTGAAAAACAGAAGACAGAAATGGCAAGGAGTACAGTTCCGATGCAGATGAGGATGGTAAAGAAGATGTTGATAGTGATAATGATGAGAGTGACAGTGACACCAGTATTGCTTCTCAACAGAAAGACTCCAATAAAAGTAAACATAAGGCCAGTGTTAACTCAATTCTTGAGCTCAACTTTCCGTTTATCACCATTAAACATGAAACTAAGATGAGTCGGGAGAAAGAGCCTGTTATGTACTGCAAACTATGCCAAAAATACAACAGCTTGACAGGAAACAAGAAAGGAATATGGGTTATAGAAGGTTATAAACTACTAAGAAAGGACAAAGTGAAAGCTTACATCAACTCAGAACAACATAAACAGGCAATGAGCCTGAATACTGACCATGAGATGCAGTCCAAAATCGAAGAAAGGAATAAAACAGAAAACATGAAAAGTGTCAATTCCATATTTGAAATTGTGAGGTACACTGCACTAAGTAATCAGCCATTGGAAAAATTTAGTGCTCTTGTAGATCTTTCCATTCATACAGGATCAAAGTACCTATTACTTTTGCATCAGACCAGTATCTATACTTACACCAGTCCCACAGCAGTTCACGAGCTGCTGGATGCCCTCAGCAAAGGTGTTAATCAGAGTCCTGTCAAAAATTCACAGCAGTCCTTCATATAGTTTAATTTTGGATGAAGTGTCTGATGTTTCAGCCATAAATAACTTGGGGATCATCATAAAGTACATCAATAAAGTATGACAGTCACAAATGAAATTTTTAGCAGACAAGGAGATGATCAGAGGAACAGGACAAATGATCAAAGAGGCAACTTTGAAAGTTTTAGAAGAAAAGGACTTATCACTGACAAAGTGCACTAATATTACATCAGATGGGGCATCAAACTTTGTGGGAAAAAACCAATGGTGCAGGTGTGCTCTTTTACAAGAATCCATAGGACCCATCATCATCATGCATTATCATAACCACCATTTGGCTTTGACCTGTAGGTACGCCTTTCAGAGCGTGCCAAAGATGGACAAGGTATCAGAAGGGTTAGATGCCTTGTACAAATACTATGAATACTCCACTGTATCAGCTGCTACATTATGGGAACTGCAGGATATTCATAAGCCAAGTCATTGCAGAGTTCAGCAAGCCAAGCACCATAATTGGCTTTCTTATGATAAGACAGTAAATGCTGTTCTTAAGGGACATGACATATTGCATCAATATTTGGAATCTGCAGCTATTTCTAACTTTAAAAGAAAGCGTCAAGATGATGCACATGGCCTTGCAAAGTGGCTATGTACAGAACTAGTGGCCAGAACACTTGTACTGCTAGGAGATATTTTGCCTTACCTAACAGAACTTTCTTTAGTCTTCCAAAAGATAAATGTTGAACTTGCTGCCATAGAACCACAGACATCCAAGAGTTGTAAAGTTCTTGAACTGAAGAAGACAAAATGTGGACCATGGGCAAAAAAAACTAGAGAAACATTCATTCCAAATGAGAAAAATTAATTGTAATGAAGAACAATTTGAAAATACATTCAAACTTCCTTTAATCAACTCCCTTATACAACACATTAAAGAAGATTCATTAATTCAGAAATAATATCCAAACTAGCTCTGTTGGTCCTTCTCATTCAAAACCGCCAGGTGATGGATGCCCTTCCTGCTTTCTATAGACAAGAGGATGTAGGTGATCTTGCAGACTACTTCAAGTTAGACACAGATAAAGTTGTTGAAGAGTGGGTCAGCTGGCTGGAATGGCTAAAAGCCATCTACTTTGCCCTTTTTGATGAGACTTTTGTTTGACACAACAACAGACAAATCAGCATTCTTGCAGGAAATGTATTCATCATGGAATAATAATAATAATAGCTACACTATCTGTGTCTTTTGCAGAAGTGGAAAGGCTCTTCTCTCACTTGAAGCTGATCAAGTCTGATCGCAGAGCTAGCGTCAGTAACAAAAAGCTCAATCAAGCTGCTTAACATCAAGCTGAAGAAGAATGAGTGGACAGATGTTAGAACAGCAACATCAAATAAATAGCTTTCTGCTAAAAGCAGATGTATAAATGTTTTCTGTAGAAGGAAATAAAAGGTTGAATAATAGCACAGTATTTAGTGTTTGCTTCTTCCAACAGACCATTTGACCACTAATTCTGAATCCTGTGAGTATCAAAATTTTATATCTTGAATCACTGATTCATTGAACATTTGTGTAATGTGCAAACTGGGCAAAAATCATAAATCAGGAGAAAAGATGCTTGTGTCATCAGTCAATTTAAAAAATCTGTAAAGTTTGTTAAGTTTGAAAAAATTACAGAACATAATTTTTGTGAGCAAGATCATAAATTGTAGAGAAGTCATACTTGATTATATTTGACAGTACTAGATCATTTTATGGCAGGAAATGTGTCTAGATAATGTTATTGCAAATTATTTAATGCTAGATAAGAAAATATTACTGATTTGCCTTTGAATTTGTCTGCCAAACTTTCTTATATTTCTGGAAGCTACTCTTATCAGATTAGAATTTCTTATTCATCTTATCTCATTGAAATCTTGTGAAGGTTGATGAATCAGATTCCTTATTATGAAAAGGAATATGAATGGTTGCTAATTTAGAAGTTCGGTGTTTCAAAGCAGTGTGCAAAGTGTAACTTTTTTCATATTGTTGCAAGACATTCTTGCATTGAACTGAAATAAAATATGAAAATATGCAGAAATGGTGGTGTTGTTAGGGCAATAAAACAAAATACTCATGATTCTTTCCTTAATTTTGATGATATTTACTCTAACAAAGAAATTGTGCTGGTATAGACTCTTCTTGCCACCCACTGATGTATCTTTTTAAAGTTGTAAATATATAACATAGTCCTTTCACACATATAATAGTGTGTACCAGTTCTTGAATTCTGTCAAGCTTGGATTTAAGTGATAGGATTTCATTTATCTTTGAAGAACCAATAATAAAATTCTTGTAAAACTTGATTCAAGATACATATATTCTTCAATTAAATGAAGGAACAAATGAGTTGTCAAATGAGACCTTCAGATTACATATTTATATAAGTTACTAGTAATGTAGAAAAAAATAAAATAATTGAGAAGATTTCTCTTTCAAATTTCAATTATATATTTCAGTTTCTGCAATGGATACTTACCTTATCTGGTAACAGCACCCAAGTTGATAGCATGAGGGTCCTTTTGAATCTCAATAAAAAGGTATATAGTTGCCTAATTCTGAGGTAGGATAAGAGCTGAAATTTTTGAGCTTCTGCACACAAATGTGCCCCTTCAACTAAACTCCACCCTGCCCCTTTTTCAATCAAGCTATGGGTCTGAATAGTAACTTTTGTAAACTTCAATAATTAATATATTTCAATTGTTAAGAGTGACATTAAAAGTCAACCTAAAATCAGCACGGCTCATTCAATATACCCTTGCTGTTAACAATATTTTCCAGCTTTTAAACTGAGCCATATCTAACTTGTAGGCTTTAACATTTGCTAATTTTAAAGATAGCTTGATTTTGAGATTTTAGGTGCTTGAATTTCATTTTGATTTAATGGGTTATTTTTATTTTACATTTTAACTTTCTTGTAGTATTGCTTACTGAATTGGTAAGAGAAATCTATTAAAAGTTTCTCCACACCTCTCATACCAGTTCAACACACCTACTATAGACTTGTCCTTGTTTTCTCTTGTGATTGTAACTTTGACTGTTGTTTGTTAATAAAGACCATTGTTGTGAACATTCTGCTTTTCAAATCTTTCAGCCAGAGTTCAGAGAGAAACTAAAACACACAAGGTAACTTGATGTTCTCCAAACTTCTAGTCAGGTTTTCTGGCACATCGATTTCTGGCACAGTAGTGAGTTATGGCCTTAATACAACATTACAAAGTCAGGATAAGACTTTCAGGTATTTTTTGTTTAAACTCAGAGATACACTACTTAACTTCCAATGTACTAGTTATGAAGTCAGCATTGCTGTACATATTAACTTATGAAAAATATAGAAAAGCTTGTAATAGTTGGAACTCTTTCACACTGACAATTTTGTGATCTTGTGAAGGTAAAACATTCTTCACATACTCTATTACTTTTAAGACTCAGAATTTAAGTGGTTGCTATATTGTACTTACAAATGTTAGATGATCAGAACTGAAGACCACTTTACTTGTAATACACTAAATGATATATTGCAATTAAAGAACTAAAAATATTGCATTATTTGGAACACTTACTGCATATTCACAAGTTATACAGTGGGTAAGATTTATTTATTTCATTTTTGGCCACAAAATGTAACAGCTTCTTCAAAACAATTGTTCCTATAGAAGCACTTTGTACGTAATATAAAATATTCACTTTTTCAGTGCTTTTGAATAAATACAGGGCAATGAGTTCAGACTGTTGATTTATATCAGTAAAACTGTTCTTAAAAATCCATATATTTTTAAGAATGGATTAGAAATTTCATGGTTTACTAGCTTTCAAACTTTCTAGATTCTCAACATGACTGACATTTCTGGTTGCAACAAGTTATCTGCAGATAGTATTGACAAACTGTGTAAAGTATTATGACTTTTTCTTTGTAAGTTACTCACCTTACTAACAGCAGTTGCTCTAGACTCATCAGCTACCAGATCATTTGTTACTTGCACTGCTAAATAAGGATTGTCAATAAGTGGCCATGCTCCTTGTACGTAGCAGGTTTGAAACTCATCATAAAATGTCCTAAGATGTGGATCTCCAAAAAGCCCACAATGGCTGAAACTTATTGGACCTGGATTCCTTCCTGTAAAAGAACATACTGCTGGAAGAACTGTTGTTGGCCTGCGAGTCAAAACTGGTTTTGTTGGGATCATACCATTTAAAATAATATCTGAACAGTTGTATTCATCAAACCACTGCATTACAAGTGATGAAATAGTATGATAGTTGAGATTTCCACGGCAACTTCTTGCAGTTGCTCTGATGCAATTGTTGTAGCTATGAAGCACTGTACAATAATGATAGTTTGAGCTTGGTCGAATGAATTCTATATGTGGGTGTGTGGCTCTTTGATATTGTGCTGAACAATGTTCCACTTTGCAATTGAAACTACCTGAAATAAAATTTTCTTGATAAGTTGAATAGTAAAAAACACAAAAATTAAAATTGTACAAAATAATTATTTATGAATATGATTAAATTTTTATGGTAAAATATGTTCCAAACCAAAATGTAAATAAAATTTTGAAACCATAATTCAGTAGAGTTACAATTAGACATAAATAATGTCTTACAGAAACTTGAAAAGTGTTTTTTTTAATAATTATAAAATTATAGAACTGGTGTTGTAGGATTCAAGACCAGATTCAAGGTCTCAGACTCAACCAGTTGGGACTTGGTCTCAGCACCCTGAGCACTCAGTCTTGGCCAAGACCATATAGTAGGATCCCACAAAAACAGTCAAATTCATCCTTCACGAAGTTATAATTTTCCTACACTAAAAATGTATTTCCAATAAGTACTTACATCTTGTCATATAAATAGCTATTCTCATTCAGTGCTGCCCTCTATATGCAAATATTTTTGTGAACACTACAAGCCTTGAAACATCCACCCATCTGGATCTGACTAATTTCCATGCAATGAACTGCCACCAATAAAAGCGTGACACTCTCTCTTGACGCATGTGACTCCCTCTACTTAATTCTACCGAACTATCACTTTGAGTGTTGGAAGAAAATAGAAACACCAGTTTTCAGTGGTGAGGAAGGGTGGGAGGAGATAAGTACCTATCGGAAATACATTTTCAGTATAGGAAAATTATAACTTCCAATACGGTACATTACCTCCCCTCACATAAATAGCTAGAATTCCACATTGAATAGGCTGAGGGACCAGTGCAAGGGAAAGAAAGACACCCTAAAAGAGTAGATCCTTGCAGTAGAGGACCATACACCACTTCTGTACCTTGTATACTCTTCATATAGTGTAGAAAGAGGTGTTGCAGACATGGGTGGAAATTGGGAGGAGCACCTATAAAAGGGAGTGAACAATGGTTGGATAGGGATCTGAACCACACAATACTGGAATCTTAATCCCACAAAGTACATCAATGTGGGTGAGAGTAAAAGGATGTGCTTCTAGTTGTAGAGTGACTTTGGTGTGACAAACTGTACAAGGCAAATCAATTGCATCCAAACCCAGCCACTGGGAACCGACATCCACGCAGGGGTAGGATGAGGATAATATTGCTGGTAAGTCAACTACAATCCAAAACCAAGCCATCTGGTGGGGGTAGCAAAGTGGATCATACCATCTTCACCTGAAGTTCAGCATATTGGAGGGAATCTCGTACTCCCTGATCTATGTAGGGGACGCATGATTGTAATATGATAAATTTTTTGACCGATCCAGGAACCCGACATTCGGACAATCGGTACAGTAAAAAAAAAACAATCCAACAGGAACCAACCCCAGCACAATAACATCCAATAACATATAAGAAAACTATCAAGCAATAGTTTGGTAGAATCAAACAGACTGTGTCAGATGTATCAGGAGGGTGTGCTGCAGTCCTACTGGTGGAGGGTTGTTGCAAGATGATTTGCATTCGAGATGCAGTTGAACCACATTGATCTTTGGGTTTGTGGGAGCTTAAGGCTTGTGCCATGCAAAAAAATTTAGAATATAGAAGGGCAGCACTGAATTCAAATACCTATTTATGTGAGTAGAGGTAATGTACCATATCAGAAACTTAATTTATTGCATCTTTGCATTAAAACGTGCCTCTTTCTCTGTTATCCTTAAACACAGACACTTACAACCAATAGTCTGAAAGGTACATTTTATTACTAAGTGATAATTATTCCATTAAAGAAAGCAAAAAATCATTATGCGATTAGTGAATGCATGCCCATGCAGTACACATACATAGCATAACAAAATATAATTATTATTTCCCCAGTGGTTGTAATTACAATGAAAACAATTAAGGTTCAGTACTGCTTTGTAATGTCTAATATGCCTGTAGGTTCTTATGACGTGCAGACCTCTGAACTATATAAATATACAAGACTGAGTGATAACAAGTTGATATTTTGTTCTCAGCATTCTCTTATTCATCCAGGTTCCCTGTAGTTTTTTGTTCAACTTGAGGCATGATGGTAGGTAAAACAAAATACTTGGCCTAGCTAACTAATGAATGAATATTTGCTGTAAAATTCTTATCAATGCTATAAGTGTAGCTACTAGTTTGGCTGCCAATTTTGACTTCATTCCTTTAAGTTGCATGCTCAATCCTTTTTTCACACCTAAGGTGTTTTTGATATCACAAATTTTTGCTAATACACACCAACAAACCACAGCAAGCAAGAAAGTGACAGTTTTAAGGTTGCAACCCTCTTATTCATAACAGACCTTTACTTAGCAGAACCAACCAGATTCTTTAAAACATATGGTAGTAGTTTTCCTCTTTAAAACAGTGTTAATAGCTTCCTGTATAGTAATGCCATGGAATTTAGATTAACAATTTCTTGTCATCACCCCATGCAATTGGTACAGCCATATCAAACATCATTATTTACAACAATTGCTTATGCTAATTTCATGTGTTGCTAAATGCTTTTTAATTAGGATAATTTTATAAAATTTAGTAAATTTGTGCTGAAAAGTTGGCAATGAATAATGGATAATAATCGTCCACCCATAAGATTTTTTTGAAAACTTGAGCTAGAAACTGCTCATCTAGTTTGCTTGGCTTAACCAATACTTATGTATCTGCACATCCTATCACCTTATAGTTTTGCTGCTCTAAATCAGCTGTCTTTAATCCAAATGACAAAAAGCTAAAAATGGTCCACTTTTACTCTTAGGTGAGGGTGATAGCTCACGTTACTTTTTGCATAGGCATTTGCAAAATTTTCATCAAATTTGAGTGGATTTTGTTGAATAACCATAAGGCATATATTTATACCAAACGAGACTTCCAATTGTAGGTTGAAAAGATCCATCAGTGTATCAAATTTGAAAAAAATCCATACAAGTATGTTTTTCTATTTAATAAATATTCCGTACTTTTGGTGAAAAGAAAAAATAGGAAGAAACTCAATCAAAATTGGAGATGTTACATCTTAGGTATTTCTTAAATGGATTGCCTTGAAATTTGGTATGTGAAGTAAGAGTCCAGTAGACCACATCCACAGAAAATATGTGATAGTTTGGATTACCACAGTCCGAGATACAGAAGGTAAAAAATAGCTAAACACCCATTCCTGTTAATAACACACAATGTGTCCTGCAGCAGGTTGTTTTGGTTGTAGGACACACTACTGTGTGTTTTGATTTCTAACATAACAAGCCTTCTTACCTTGCAGGTATAATTAATCCCACTGTGTCCAGCACATCTCTGTCTTTGGGTTGTATGGAGTGACTATTTGCCAAGAGGGGTTTTCTAAACTATTCTTGATCAACTGAATAATTGGTTTCAAACTTGTATTTTCTGCCTGAGCATCTTTCAGTTGAGTACTTGACCACATTAGTTCTTCATCATCACTTGTGGATGTTACATCTTGGATTACACTTTGTTGTACTTAAGGTTGGTCATCCTCTTTTCACAGTGCTTACATTCTTCATTAACACAGTTTTTGGGGTACTGCATCAGCATTTCCATGATTCCATTCAGGATAAGACATGGTGTTAAAGTTGTACTCCTCAAGTTTCTGAAGCCATTTTGCTATCCGGCCTCTGAAATTGTGAAAATTCACCAACCACTTCAATGCTGCATGGTCTATCCAGAATGTAAATTTTTGTCCATATAAATAGTGAGTGAAGGAAATGACTTAAGTCTCAAAGAACTTAATAACTCTTTCCAAGTGATATAATACCTCCTTTCTGCAGCATTCATTTCCTTGCTAAGCAAATAATCCCATGTTCTTTTCCACATTGTACTTGTAATAGCATTGCTCCCACTTAAAATATACTGGTATCTATACATAAAATGAGGGGATTTTTCAAAAATTGGGTTTATTCTTTCTTCAGTTTATTAAATACTTGTTCACAATCAGTAATCCAACAAAATTCATTTGATTTTTCAAGTAATTTATGTAGAGGACAAGCTATGTCACAGAATGATTTTATGAAATTATGATAGTTACATAACAGTTTCAGAAATCCTCTTACCTCATGCAAGCTCTTGGGGTTGGCCTATTCTGAACAGATGCAATCTTAGCTTGGTCTGTATACATGCCCTCTCTACTGACAATGTGTCCCAGGAAATTCACCTGTTAACAAGAACAATTCACATTTCTTAGGCTTCAACTTAAGGCTCTCTTTCCTCAACTGATACAGGACTTTCCTTAGCCCATCATAAGCATTATCAAAGGTTTTTCCCATGTGTCATTATGTCATCTAAGTGGATTGAGTATGACATTCCATGGCAGTTCAGCACACTCCAATAGTCATTGAAATGTAGCAAATGCATTACATAATTTAAATGGGAACTAAACAAACTGCCATTTCTTACAGTAAAGGATATATTCTCTCTACTTGCTTTGTCTACTTGCACATACCAATATCCACTCTTGAGATACAGTGTTGAAAACCATTTTGATCCAGATAAAGCAACCAAAGTGGAGTTAATCTTTGGTAGTAGATAGGTATCCTTCTTTGTGACTTCTTTCACCCTACAGTAATCCACACAGAAGCTTGTGGATCCATCCTTCTTTACAAATACAATAGGTGATGCTCAAAGAGTAGTACTTGGTTTTGTTTCTCCTTGTTCCTTCATGGCTTCAATCTCTGTGAAAGTCCCAGTCTGTTTCGCAAGTAGGAGTTGTCTGGCTGACTTACTGAGGCTGTATCACTTTTATATTATATTTGTTTATCCTGAGTCATGAGGTCTACTGGAGAAAATATTTTGATATTCCATAAGCAAGTCACATAATCTATGACACTGATCAGCTGTAAGACCTCCACATCTCCTATCATACACCTCTTGTGAGGTGGTAAGCTATTCTTATGTGAGGATTTGACATCAGATTTCCTACATCTTGCCTCAAAGGTAACTGCATCTGATGTTTTCTGATGTGAAAGTACTACCTGTACAGTTTTTACATC